AGCAAGGGTGGGGGGAGTGGGGGGGGGCACAGCCCCCCGCCTTCCTGTCTCGCGCCTGCGGGCACCACGTTCCACCTTCTCCCCCCCCTTTGCGGGGAGGACACAAGGCGCGGCAGGCCCGCCCCAAGCAAGCGAATTGCCTCCCAGCGCCTGCTTGGTTCTAGCAAGGGGAGGCGGGGCACAGGGGGGCACGAAATCTGGCGTGGGCCTGTGAAATCCATTGGAGCGTTGCCATTCGCTGCAAGCTGTAGTTCTCTGTCCCTGCCGGCCCATAGCAGGGAGGGTACAGCCCTGCCTCGCATGTTATTAGCCTTCTTTTACTACAGCAGGCATGTCCAAAGTCCGGCCCGCGGGCCAATTGCGGCCCGTGTTCCGGTTTAATATGGCCCCCCAGGTAATTTGGCAATATCTATCTTTTATGGCCCCCAACGAATCCATATATATTGAGATGAATACATTGTAAAATCTCAGTTAATGTCAGTTGGTCTAAATCAGTTATAAATATATTTGGACACAACATGTATACTTGGTGTTATGTTCCTGTTCATATTTTTTGAACTTAAAAGTTGACAGACAACCTTTATTACCAATAATATGTAATGTACTTTACAATGTTCCTGACATATATTTCAGCTTCCTGGATTTTTTTTTTCATCTGGCCTTCAGATATGAAAGGCAGAGTGATTTAACACCTGTTTAGATTTGTCATCCATGTGACGAAATGAAAAGTATGCCGTTTGCAATAAACTTTGCATAAAATAGTTAATTTGCATTTAATTTTAATGGTTCAAAGAATGTCAGGCAAAATAGTCAGCCCTCACGCATGTTCACTTCATCAAATCTGGCCCTCTTTGAAAAAAGTTTGGACACCCCTGTACTACAGCCTCGCCTAGCTACGTTGGCTGCAACGCTACCACGACTCTCACTCCATGGCTGTGTCTACACTGGGCCACTTATTCCAGAAAATCAGCCGCTTTTCCGGAATAAGCTGCGAGCTGTCTACACTGGCCCTTGAATTTCCGGAAAAGCAACGACACTCTACTGTACAAAATCAGCCGCTAGTCCGGAAACACTGTTCTGCTTCCGCTCAGGCATAAGTCCTTATTCCGGAACACTGTTCCGGAAAAGGGCCAGTGTAGACAGCCCAGTAGTCTTTTCCGGAAAAAAGCTCCGATCGCGAAAATGGCGATCGGGGCTCTTTTCTGGAAAAGCGAGTCTACATTGGCCACAGACACTTTTCCGGAAAAAGGGCTTTTCCGGAAAAGCAGCCTGCCAATGTAGACGCTCCTTTTCCGGAAAAACTGAAAACGGAATAGTATTCCGTTTTAAGCATTTCCGGAAATTCATGCCAGTGTAGACACAGCCCATGGTTATTACAGGTATAGTAAGACAGGGCCAGTTTTTTCAGCTCTTGTGAGAGTGAGAACCTGCAAGTGAAACTGACTCCATAACTAGTCCCAACCTAAACCCCCAAGGCATCCAGTAGGGGAGCAGATTACTATGGAATTTTCAAAAGTCTTTTCCAGTCAATAGTCCATAGATGCTATGTGACCCCCCCAACCACTTCAGGCTGGCGGTGGACAGGCACAGAGCAGGCATTCCCTGTGTGATACCATTTCCTAGACTGCTCACAGGGAAAAGGTGAGTTACTGATAAGAACATAACAACAGTCATAACCAAAGGTCTGTCTAGCCCAGTAACCTGTCCTTTAACAGTGGCAAATGCCAGATGCCCCAGAGAGAATGAACAGAATAGGTAATGGAGTGATCCATCCCCTGTCACCCAGCTTCTGACAAAAAGAGGCTAAGGACACCATTCCTATCCAGCCTGGCTAATAGTCATTGATGGATCTATCCTCCATGAATTTATCTAGTTCGTTTTTTAACCCTGTTAGTCCTGGTCTTCATAACATCTTGTGCCAAGGAGTTCCATGGGTTGATAGCATTGCAAGAAGAAATCCTTTTGTTTGTTTTAAACCTATTACCTAGTAATTTCATTTTGCGACTCCTTATTCTTGTGTTATGGGAACAAGTAAACAACCCTTCCTTATTCGCTTTCTCCACACTAGTTACAATTTTATAGTTCTCTTATCCCCCTGTAGTCTCTTTTCTAAGCTGAAAAGTCTTGGTCTTTTTAATCTTTCCTCATATGGCAGCTGTTCCAATCCTCTAATAATTTGTATTGCCCTTTTCTGATAAGCGACAGCCAGTGAAGAATAACGGGGACCCTATGCAGAGGAGGCTATCCTATAGCAGCAGGAAAAAGAAGTGTTCCACCAGGAAAAGGTAGAAAGATCATTGTTTTAGGGGGAGCAACAGCCTTTTCCTTGGCTGGCTGTCAGTCTGCTGATCATGGCAAGGTAGGTGATAAACTGAGACAGTCTCTCCACTGTCCCTACTTTCCTTTTCTTACACTCCCTCCCCCCCCTCAAAAAAAAAACCAGGGAAAATATTCTGTTGAGGAAAAAAAAGGGGGAGACCAAAGTTGTTGATAAAAAACAAAAGGACCCCAAGAGTTATTAAGCAAAAAATAAAATAAAATATCATGGCCCCTTTAAAAAAACCCTTTGAAGCTTTTTGCCAGTAGCCATCTTGTTTTCCTGATCAAGCCAGGAGACAGCTTCCCTGCGGAACCAGGTAAGCAGGGGGAGGTCCAGGGAGCTCGGGGGGAGACCTGGGGGCCGGGCCCGGTTGCTGAGTGTGTGTACGGTTGCCAAGTATCTGGTATTTT